TTGGCATATTCGGACATGCATTTGATTAGCTCCCTGGCCTGGGCGCATTTGTTGTTGTTGTTGTTGCTGCCGTAGCGCGACTGCTCCAGATAGCGAAAGCATTGCTGCACCGTATCCATGTAGAAATTTCGCAGCTCCCGATCACGCAGATCCTTCGTCAGCAAATAGCTAACCTTGCGACGATCCGGCTGCCCATTGCCATCGACCTGTGGCGATGGAGAGAAATAAGATTGCTTTTCGAATATTGCATAAAACATAACTTGAAAACTTCCTAAGGAAAGCGCAATTTAAAGATTATTCTCATTTCCTTTAACTTCTTAAATTTACATAAAGTTTCCGGCACTGTACTTGCCATGTTCATCTCCTCGAAGAAACACTGTGCCACACAGGAGCCCATTTCAGAGGTGTTGTTCGCCTTGTTGTTGTTATTGTTGTTGTTGTCTGATTGCTTCAAGCTGCGCTGCCAGCGATTATCATAGGAATGCTCCTGCTGACGTTGACTCTGACCCTGTCCTTGTCCGTAATCCTGGCCATTGTAGGAGCTATCGAAATTATATCTGGGATTGCCATAATGTCTATCGTTGTCATCCTGATTGTTGTTGTTGTTACTACTGCTGCTGCTGCTGCGTTGCATGCAACTTCGCACGATCCTTTTGAGCTCGGCATCGCTGGCGCCATCCTGGGAGCGGCATCTTAAGCTATGCAATCCGGCAAAAGACCCAAGTAAGATGAGCAGCAGTAGATGCATCTTAACAACTGTTGGACAGCGCCCAACTCCAGGCCCATTTTTATAGCCAACTTCAACTGACAGCTGACAAACTAATAGCTGCCTGACTAACTGCCTGACTGACTGACACACAATGGCGCCATTAGCTGATTGTAATTTTACAAATCTGTCAACTATTCAGATGCAATTGAAGCTGGAAAACATTACGGGCAGGGGTGAGGGCAAACTGGAGGCACTGTGGCAAGAGTATCAGTCAGTGTTGGCTGGATATGGCAAGCATATTGAGGGCTTCTACGCCGAGTACGTGGATCTGAAGCAGCGCGACGAGGAGAGCGCTCAACAGATCAGCCAGCAGAGCTATGAGATCGAGCATCTGATTGAGCAGCTGTCCAATCTTCGACTGCTCGCCGAGGAGCAGCAGATCAAACAGCAGGCACAGCTGCAGCACAGACAGAGCATTAAGCAGCAGCTCACGGAACGATTGCGAGAATTGCGCGATTGCGTCGACAAGGAGCTGGAGCAGGAACACAAGCTCTTCAAGCAAATGTCCGTGGAGAGCTATGAGGCCATCGAGGTGGGTAAACACCACATACCACACATCTGCTAAAAACCTGCACAAAATTCTTAGATAAAAATCACTTCTCTTAGACACTCAAAGGTCATCTGACACAGGGAGAAACTTTAATCCAACTGTCGCGGATTTGCTCCAAAATGGAAACTCAGCGCGAAAAGTTGTTTCAACTGCCGCAACTTTCACGCGAGATCATAGAGATTAGAGAACTCCAATCGCCGACTGATGCCGTTAATGCAGTCAGCGATCCACTGAAGGTAAGCGCAACTAAAACACTCAGAAGTATAAAGACACAATTAAAGATTGCTCTCTTTAGGAGGAAGTTGCCGCCTTGCCGCAAATGGAAATATTTTGGCGGCGTGTCAATAACGTCGCTGTGGATGTGGCCTGCTTGAAGCAGCAGAAACGCACTTTGGAGGCGGCCAATACACGGCTCAAGGCCGATTTGCAGGAGTATCTCATCAATTTGAACATCAGCAATGGCTCCAACTGCCACATACACGACTATCTGGCCAAGCGACCCCGCAGCATGTCCGTTGATCGCGTCACGCAGCTGCGCCTTCAGCCGAAGCAAGTAAAGAGTGCGATGGCAACGGCAAGGGGCGGGGAACGGCGTCCCAATGGTGGTCATGTGCCCACCTGTGAGGCGAGCATTTCGAATATGGTGCGCTCGCATAATCTTCTGAAAGGCAAGCCGCAGTTGGCCAAGATTGAGATCAGAAGGCATTTGTAGATTCCCCATTGCAAAAACACACTTTTGGAATTTCTTTTAGAGTTGATGTAATCAAAATTTAACTATCACATAAAATAAATAATAATTAATGCAATCGACATCAATTTCAAATTGTAGCGCTTTTGTCTGATGTGGCCAGACTACGTAATATGACATAGTGCTGCCAGATAGTCAAAAGTCGTCGGTTTAGTATATTTTTGTTGGTATGTTTTTCATTGTGGCTCAGTTACATGTTCCATTTCTACATTGTTTCGCAGTTTTCCACAGACACAACCCACGTCCAATAGTCGCTTACACAGAAATTAAATTAAACACAAAGAATAGTTCGGGATTAATTAATAAAAGTTAACTGCAAGTGCTGCTTAATCAAGTGCACAAATTAAAAGCCATGTACGAGTGAATAGCAATCTAAATTCAGCCCGCATTTTGGGGTGTAAAAATCGGATGTGTTTTTTACATCCGTATATCTGTGTATCTACCGAATCCAAAGTGTAACAGAGTGTGTGTGTGTGTGTGTGCGCGCCTGTGTATGTGTACGCTACGCACTGTTATAGATACAACAACAAGCCAGCAGCAGCAGGCTGGCAGTTGGAACGGGATCGGACAAGGGAACGGTGAACAGCAGCAGCGTGTTCTTGTTCTTGTAAAATTACCAAAAAGAAATTTCATTCGGAAAATGCGGAAATGAGGCTGAGAAAGAGAAACAACCCCGAAAACTCAAACGAAATATGTACATAAGACCAAAAGGGCAAAAACAACAAGCAAAACGAGAGACGACAATCGCTGATTCGTTTCAGTTTCAGTTTTAGTATTTGTGATTAATAAAACAACGAATAATAAAAGACATACACACAAAAAAGAAAAATACAGAATTAAAAGATACGAAATCATTGGAAAGAAAGTGTGAGAAACAAAAAGAAAAAAACCCATCAAAATCAAAGACTCTGCGGCGCTGCATTTGGATTGTAAATTTTTATTTATTTTTTTTTTTTTTTGGGCCACGCCGTCGTCGTAGGCGCTCGTTCCTCGAGATAAACATAAAGAGAGATAAATACAGAAATAAAAAATTAATGGAAAGGCAAAGACACACACGAAATACATAAGTGCATATGTATATAATTCTAGTGGTGGTGTAGTGTTGTTCTGCTGCTCGCCAGTGCACTGCTGCTTATCTATCTATGAATGAGGTGCATATGTCGTCATTGTCGCCTTCGATTTGAATCCGTGTCTGCCATGGAAATGTGACTGTAATAATTGGAGCAGCCCAAGAATAATTTTCAGAAATGTGTTCAATGCTTGACTAAAGATAAACATAAAACCAAGCAGCGGAAAAACAACGGCTGACTGAAAAAAGGTTTGTACGTTTTATTCTTTTTTGCATAAAGCAAAGTCTTTGTATTCAAATAATGTCACACCTCCTACGCAAAACAAATCAAATCAAAACAAAACAATTCACATAAAATGCTGGTCGCTCGAACGCTAGAATCAGACTTTATTCTAGTTGGCAAATAGTTCTTGTTGCTAGAAGTGCTTGTTTTGCTTATTTTTACAGAACATAATTAAAACTAATTCTATGCAGTGCTTAAATATTATACACGATTTACGACTCAAGATGCTGTCTGGAAATTCTAGTGCCGAGCAACCACTTTAGATACATGTATTTGTTATATACATGTATGTGTATATCATTAAAGCTTCTTATTGACTAACAGCTTTCACATTCTCTGCCCATTTCCATTTGTGCATTAGCCAAGAAATCGCTAAAAATGATTGCCCCCACTCACAACTGCGCAATATAAATATTATAAAAATAAAAAAATAAAATAATAATATACATCTACATGTATATAAATCCACCACATCGATATCGACAGATCTGGAGCACTAACTATCATCATCCAGCATCAAACATAAACAATATGCCCCGGCTGCAGTTTCTACTGCTGTTGGCCATCGCACTGGCAGCGCTGCCAGCAGCCAAAGGTAAAGCCATTCAGCTCATAATCCCAAAAAAAATAAGGATCGACTTTATGCATCTGAGTATCTTAACTTCCTCCACAGCGCAATATCAATCGCCTCGCATCATCGAGCATCCCACGGATCTGGTGGTGAAGAAAAATGAGCCTGCCACACTCAATTGCAAGGTGGAGGGTAAACCGGAGCCGACCATTGAATGGTTTAAGGTATGTGTTGTTGGGAATGGAAGTTTCGTATATTTACTGGATGTTGATCATGTCTGGCTCTGCAGGATGGCGAACTGGTCAATACAAATGAGAAGAAATCGCATCGTGTGCTGTTCAAGGATGGTGCTCTATTCTTCTATCGCACCATGCAGAGCAAGAAGGAGCAGGACGGCGGCGAGTACTGGTGTGTGGCCAAAAACCACGTGGGCAAAGCAGTCAGTCGGCATGCCTCGCTCCAAATCGCTGGTAAGCCAAACAAACAACAAACAACTTGTTTACCCACACCTTTGGCGCATATGGTTTTCTAGGAGTATGTCTGACACCTCTTACTTGCAGTTTTGCGCGACGATTTTCGCGTGGAGCCAAAAGATACACGCGTGGCCAAAGGCGAGACGGCGCTGCTCGAGTGTGGGCCGCCCAAAGGCATACCAGAGCCGACCATTATCTGGATGAAGGCAAGCTAAACGCAAATCTTGTGCAATAATTGTGCCCAATTTTAAACATTTTTCGTTGTTTTTTTCTTTGTGTCTCTCGCTCTCGTTCCTTTAGAATGGTGTGCCACTGGATGATCTCAGCTCGAAGCCTTTTGGCACCAGTTCGCGTGTACGCATTGTGGATGGAGGCAATCTGCTGATCAGCAATGTGGAACCAATCGATGAGGGCAACTATAAGTGCATTGCACAGAATCTGTTGGGCTCACGCGAGTCCAGCTATGCCAAACTGATTGTCCAGATCAAGCCTTACTTTATGAAGGAGCCGAAGGATCTGACAATGGTCTATGGTCAAACGGCTACGTTTCACTGCTCTGTTGGCGGGGATCCGCCGCCAAAGGTGCTCTGGAAGAAGGAGGAGGGCAACATACCCGTTTCACGTGCCCGCATCCTGCACGACGAGAAGAGTCTCGAGCTGACCAACATTACGCCCAACGATGAGGGCACCTACGTCTGCGAGGCTCACAACAATGTGGGTCAGATTAGTGCTAGAGCCACCCTCACCGTGCACGGTAAGCGATGACAGCCCAACGAAAAGTTGACCCATTCCTCTAACCTTGGTTTACTTTACTTCAGCTCCACCCAATTTCTCCAAGAAGCCAACTAACAAGAAAATCGGACTCAATGGCCAAGTGCAGCTGCCTTGCGTAGCCACTGGCAATCCACCGCCATCTGTTTTCTGGACCAAAGAGGGCGTCTCCACGCTCATGTTTCCAAATACCTCGCATGGACGCCAGCATATCTCAGCCGAGGGTACGCTGCAGATCAACGATGTGCAGCAGGAGGACGAAGGCTTCTATGTGTGCTCCGCTTTCAGTGTGGTCGACTCCTCCACCGTGCGCATTTTTCTGCAGGTTAGCTCAGTCGATGAACGCCCGCCACCCCTCATACAAATTGGACCAACAAATCAAACACTGCCCAAAGGTTCGGTGGCCACGATGCCATGTCGTGCTACGGGAAACCCCACGCCACGGGTCAAATGGTTTCACGATGGTTATGCTGTGCAAACGACCAGTCGCCACAGCATCGTTCAGGGCAGCTCCCTCAGAGTTGATGGTATGGTGTACCTTTTCTAGTTGTAAATATTGATTATAAAACACCAGCTTTAACAATTACAGATCTCCAATTAAGCGATTCTGGTCTATATACGTGCACAGCCTCCTCGGAACGGGGCGAATCTTCGTGGTCAGCCGCCCTAATGGTTAGTATGCCGTCTTGTGACTCTTGTTGTTTTCACTCTGATAATACTCGAATTTAAACAGGTGGAGAAGAGCAGCTCGGCAACGCTTCATCGCATTGCAGATCCCAGCACCTATCCAGCACCACCCGGCACACCCAAAGTAATCAATGTGACTCGCACAAGTATATCACTACGCTGGGCTAAAAGTCAAGACAAGCCCGGAGCTGTTGGTCCAATTATTGGGTAAGCGAAAGTTTTTTATAATTAAGGTACGATATTGAAATCAACTTTAAAGTCTTTTTAAATAGTTTTGACGTTCTTTAATATAAGGATAATATTTATGTAGCGTTCAAGTAGATTGTAAATTTAAATTCCTCAAGGTACTAAGTTTGATGGCTGATTGGAAATCTCCAATACATACAGAGAGTTTATGTAAAGATAACACATTTTTTAAAAGGTTTCATACAATGCTGAGACTATCATTCTTAATCACATTTCTAATTCTTTGAAACAAAGCTTAAAATATTATTATTTTTATCTTATGTAGATTTGGGGTGTTGATAATATATAAACGATTTTCCAAGAGTTTCTGTTTTGTCTTTCTTACATAAATAATATTTAATGTAAAATCGATAACATTTTTCTAGCTATGCTGTGGAGTATTTTAGTCCCGATCTTCAGACGGGTTGGATCGTGGCTGCTCATCGAGTGCACGATACTCAAGTAACAGTAAGTAGTGCTACTTTTCTTCTAATAGACATTCGCACATTGTAATAATTTTAAATCCCTTTCTCAACAGATCTCAGACTTGACATCTGCTACTTCGTATGTTTTTCTGGTACGCGCAGAGAATATGCAAGGCGTTTCCGTGCCCTCGGGCTTATCGAATCCTATTAAGACACTGGGCGAGGATTTTGATATGCCACCATCCAATGAACTATCAGCGGCTCGTACTCTGTTAACGGGCAAGGTAAGGAGTAAATAGTCAGAGGGATTAGTTTAAGAAACTGATTAATGATTAAACATGTGTTCAGGTTGTGGAATTAATAGATGCCTCAGCTGTAAATGCCAGCGCCGTACGCTTGGATTGGATGCTTCATGTCAGCGAGAATGAAAAATTTGTTGAGGTCAGTTCTCGCGTAATTTTAATTATCAACTCATACTAATCTGTATGATTTCCATAGGGTCTGCATATACGCTATCGGGATTACAGCTCCCATTCAACGCTGTATAATGTCATCACCGTGCTGGATGCCTCCGTGGAATCGCATGTGGTTGGCAATCTGCGCAAGTACACGAAATACGAATTCTTTTTGACGCCCTTCTATGAGACCATCGAGGGGCAGCCGAGCAACTCCAAAATAGCCACAACCTATGAGGATGGTAAGCAGCAACAGCATCAACTTTATGTCAAGTGGTTCCTTTGATTAATCTGTTTTTCGCTTAGTGCCCTCTGCACCGCCGGATAATATACAAATTGGCATGTACAATTTGACTGCTGGATGGGTGCGCTGGACACCACCGCCGGCTCAGCACCACAATGGCAATCTATATGGCTACAAAATTGAGGTCAGTGCTGGCAATACGATGAAAGTGCTGGCCAATATGACGCTTAATGCGACGACTACGTCGGTGCTGCTCAACAACCTGACCACCACAGCTGTTTATAGCGTGCGCCTCAATGCCTTCACAAAGGCCGGCGACGGACCCTACTCCAAGCCCGTATGAATAGACTTTTTCTTTTCGACTGACTGCATCACTTAAATATTGTGCTTTCTTTAGAAATCGTTGTATATGGATCCCACGTATCACGTGCATCCGCCTCGTGCACATCCCAGCGGTACACACGATGGCCGGCATGAGTCTGGCAATGATTTCACGTATCACACCAACGACATGGTCAATACGGAACCCAACAATTCGAATCCAACAACGCATCGCAAAACAACAGGTTTTGCGCATGGCACCTGGGTGATGGGACTGGTTATTATTATACTTCTTGTTGTGGTGGTGTCCACAGCAACGGCCATGGTTTACTTCAAGCGCCGTCATCAAATGACCAAGGAGCTGGGGCATTTGAGTGGTGAGTGATGGCCGCAACTTGAGCTCTCACTTTTTATAACATCTTGTTTCTCCCTCTGCGTAGTTGTGAGTGCTAATGAGATAACCGCACTTAATATCAACAGCAAGGAGAGCCTGTGGATTGATCGGGGCTGGCGAACCACAGACACTGACAAGGACTCGGGGCTAAGCGAATCGAAGCTGCTCTCGCATGTGAACAGCAGCCAGTCCAACTATAACAACTCCGATGGCGGCACCGACTACGCCGAGGTGGACACCCGCAATTTAACAACCTTCTACAATTGTCGCAAGGTGCGCTCGAATCAAACTCATTGCTAAGTTTTCAACTAACCACGTTTCCCCTACCTTTTAGAGTCCCGATAATCCCACGCCCTATGCCACGACCATGATAATTGGCACCTCGTCTAGCGAGACCTGCACCAAGGCCACTTCGCTGAGCGCCGACAAGGATTCGGGCACACATTCACCCTACTCGGATGCATTTACAGCTCAAGGTACGGCAGCTGCTGCTGCTGCTGCAGCTGCCGCTGCTAGTAATAAGTCCAACTATTTGCAATATACTACGGAAACGATTAACTGGTCGGAGTTCTTGCCACCACCACCCGAGCATCCGCCGCCGCTGTCCTCGAACTATGGCTATGCGCAGGGCTCACCTGAATCCTCGCGCAAGAGCTCCAAAAGCGCCGGCTCTGGCATATCCACCAATCAAAGGTGAGCTGCAAATCTGAAGTAAAAGTAGATAAATCGATTTGTAACACATTATTTCCTGCCAGCAGCATTCTAAATGCTTCCATACACAGCAGCTCTTCGGGCGGCTTCTCGGCTTGGGGCGTTTCACCGCAGTGCGCGGTTGGCTGTCCCCAGGAGAATTTGTATAGCAATCCGTTGAGTGCCGTTGGCGGCACACAGAATCGCTACCAGATCACGCCCACCAGCCAACATCCGCCGCCATTGCCGCCCTACTTTGCCACTACACCCAGCGCCGGCAACATACATATCCACTACCCCACACAACGGCATGCCGTCAGCGAGTATCAGGCTGGTTTGAATGCGACACGCTGTGGCAACAATCACCGAGCCTGCAACAGCTGTGATGCTCTAGCCTCGCCCATGCAGCCACCTCCACCGTTGCCACCGCCAGCGGAGGGTTGGTATCAGCCCGTGCATGCTCACGGCAATCAGATGCAGCCGACTGCCTCCAATCATCAAATCTATCAGTGCTCCTCCGAGTGCTCGGACAATTCGCGCGCTTCCCACGGTCACAGCAAGAGACAGCAGCAGCAACTCCATTCGGACAGCAGCGCTGAGCAGAGCAGCAGCAAACGCTCCGGACAACGACGAGTAACAGCAGCACATCTCGCCCAGCAGCAGCAGCAACAGCAACAGAATTCCTGTGCAGAGAGTGAGAACGAGAACATGATGTCGGGCTATGAGCTGCATCAGCGCAATTATACAAGCGACTGCTGCAACAGCTCCCGGGAGGGCGACACCTGCTCCTGCAGCGAGGGTTCCTGCCTGTATGCCGAGGCTGGCGATCCCGTCGTATCGTCAGCTCGCCCAATGACTGCTAAACATACTTAAACTGGTTGCCAGCATAATAGATGGGAATAGAACCATCCCATCCCAATTGGATCTTGCGTAGTATTAAATATAGCATCTAGTCGTAACATTTCATTCATATCGAACTTAGCACACGAGAATACAACACTAGCATTTTAAAGACATGTTACTATAACCACTGTGCTGCGCCCCACAAAACCAAATACGTACACACTCACTCAACAACAACAGCAGCAGCAGCAGCAGTAACTATAACTACAACTACAATCAAGGTGCACAGCTCGTATTTAGAATTTGAGACAATTGTGCGGGCATTAGATATTACACAGAAATTACATAGAACTTGATATAAAGATCAGCCCGGCTAAATGTACTTAAGAAGTGAATGCTGTATGATATGCTTTCAACAAAAACAAATCAAAACAAAAACAGAATGATAAACTACTAAACACGAAATACGTACGAACGATCGAACTCAAATGAAGAACAGTCAGGCCATAGCAAGTACATAATACATTATATAAATACCACTTTTGATAACTGCATAGTTAGTTAGATACAAAATGATCATGTATGCAAATACATAGATTGTTTGGCTAAATTGGCTGGCCACCTAGTCATAGGCTTGAATAGCGTTAGTAACATGTACTCACAACTCTTTCATATCTACGATCACAATCGAGCATTTATCGCCCTACGTTCCCTGAATTCGCATTTACATACAAACAATTAAATATAAATATAAAAAAAACGGAAAGGATGTTAAACTTAAAGACGATGACACAGTTGAGATTGGTTAAGAATAATGAACGGCAGTTGCAATGTTTAATGGTTAGTGCTTTTCTATAAAATGAAAACTTTAAACAATACAAAAACAAACAAAAAATACTTAAACTAAAACCGAATCACAGTAATACTTCATAGATAATGACTTGACCTAGTGCATAGTAACACTTAAACACTATAATTACTACTTTATACTTTAAAGGCAGCTTATGCATAAGTAGCTAATGCCAACACTTCGGTGCCATCGAAGCCAACTTCATGCCCCCCACACCCACACGCGCTTTTCCGATCTGTAACACCCCTTAGTAACCCCAAACCCAAATCTTTTCCCTCCATCCGTGCGCCTTTGTGTGGGGCTCTCCATAACGTACATACATTTTTACAAGCTTGCATTTGAAAAAAGTCTAAAATGTACCTGTGATATATATAACCCCATTAAAGTATTTTAATAATTATTATTATTATCATTATTATTTTAGTTTGGTTTTATGTTCATCTTTCACTTTTTTCCAAGCAACGAGAAACGTTTGTTGGAAAACGAACCGCATATAAACGAAATTTTTGGGTGTTTTAAGAACAAACCTAGCATAATTTAGAACTTAGGCACGTACGACATTAGAAATGCAAAATATATCATCATCCCAAAACAAAAAATAAAGAATAAAGAATACCAGTGAAACGTTGAAGAAGTTGTACACTTCTCAAACATTTTCGAATCGTGTTTGGATTCTTAAGTTCCCGAAATGGGTTATTAGATAAAGTGTGCGGCTCTGATGATTGGCGACTATACGAATATCCATTTGGACTAAATTCAACGAAAATGCAATGTTTAAAAGTAACGAAACAATACTATGCATACATAATACATAGCATAACTTAACATAATAATAATAATAATATATAGCATATAGCACATAGGATCGCGCATGTATTAAATAAAAACAAATCAAAAGAATGCTTTTAGCATAAGTACCCAAACCACTTCCTTGCATACACCCCATATCCCTAGATCGATGAGGTGCTCATGCATGTACATACAAACATACAAACAAACATACATATATAGAATCACATACACTACACTCTACACTACACAACCCAACACAATGCAACATATTTATGCCCCCTGCCATACAATACATACTATATACACATATATATAAATAATTGAAAACCAACTAGCTTGAGTTGAATTACTCTTCCGTAGCCTAGTTGGGTTTTTGGGTTTTTAATAATAATTAGAAACTAGTTATTAACTACGTACATACGAGTATTTTAAAGTCATAGCATAAACGAATTTTAAGATTTAAACTATAAACTATATTAATTTTTAGTGCATAGTCTGCCATATGTAAACGAAATTTTTCAACCCAACAAAACACTGACATAAATCTACTTACCATGCATAATATAAATATATATATACATATATATATATATATATATATTTATTTATATACATATGTATATATATGTATATACATATATATACGTATAGACTTTAAATTACATAAACAATAAAGGAACATTTTACATATATGTATGTGGATAAATCGAGACTATTTACTAGATGTCAAGCATCATTTGCTAAATGTGGCTAAATCCTTTCTAGATGCTGGGAATTTGATGTTGGAATTGAAATTTAAGTTTGCACAGCCTACTTTACCATTTTTTGTTTTTAATATTTATTTAGGAAATGAGATCTCGGATTCGTTAAGAGCACTTTTCAGGAATTTTTTTAAAAACTTCACTTCTTTGGTCCCAAGTTGACGCCCATTTCGAGACTTGGAGAACTGATTACATTGTCCAGGATGACATTTTCCAACTTAAATTTTCGCATTCTTACATCCTACTTTAAGAATCTGACCAATGCGACAGATCTGACATTTTTCACCAGAAATGCCATTGAGCTGCGGAACTTGGCACTCGAGCTGAGCACTGCGACTGTCGGCCTGAATGTGGTGTCAGTTTTCAGTTTATTCATAACGCCAAGTGTTTCCAAAAACTGAGCAAGTGCCCAGTCCGTCAATTCTTAATAAGAACCTCTTATGGCTTACTTACTTATAGTTATTTTACTAAGCTGCAACACTGAAAATAGTTGCTGAGGACTTTTAAAATAGATTTCAAGTCACGACTAAATATTCTTTATAACTAAATCCATGGCTGCTGATTGATCATGGTAAACCGTCGGAAACTGGCTTCTTCAATGGGTTTCCCTTGGCATACTCGAGAGCCATTAACTTGAATCTGGATACGACCCGCTACAGTCATTGGGAGCCACAATTTGTTATCAAGCTCGACTAACCCTTAGGGCTGTTGTATATTCACCGCTTGAACTCGATCCTCAAAATGCGGGTAAGCAAATACAAATTGAAGCCAGATTTCGATTACATCAATTAGTCGACGGAACAGCGGTCACTCTGTTTGATGATCCCGCAGTAGTTATTGGAGTTCGTAAAGCAGGCAAAACTTGTTTAACAATTAAACTATTAAATAATAAAATAATTAAGGCTTATTATGGGACAACCGTAAATGCATTGTGAGTTGTTGCACTTAAGGGATGCTATAATAAATGATGGTCTTTAGTCTATGATTCATAGATATGCAAATTAGATTATTATTATACAAAATACAAAATAATTTCATAAATATTACATTAATCTGCTGATCTTGAAAATTAAAATCTTGTCTTGAATTCTCCTTAAAACTGATATCACTTGATATTAATGCCTAAGAAAAACTTAAACTTCAAAATGCTGAATTGCTGAATATAATGCCGAATTGATGATCTGTAAAGGGAATTAAAAAAACTACGGCCATCAACTAAACACAGTCCTAAGGGCCAATAATGCTATTTCCATATGTAATCATGCAACTGGACTGCGTAATGTAGTATAATAACATACAGATACGTGACAAGAACAGGTATATGTATATTTATCTTAAGTATGCATGTGTGTGTATGTGTGTGTGTGTGTGTATCTTGTGGTTACCAGTTACTGGGCTTGCCCCGAAGAGAGTTGGCAAATGGGGTCGCGGTCGCCTGACTTGCACTTGTTGCGTGGGCTCCCCTCGGCTCCTCGCCCACAGCGAGTGTTGAATGCTGAATGTTGAATGTTGCATGTTGGATGTTCAGTCTCTATTGCGTCTTCAACAATCGTCTGCGTGTTGCACCTTTTCCGATGCTACCTGCGTTGGCTGCAGCCGCACAGACACAGACACAGACGCAGACGCAGCATCAGCAGCTAATGATGATCATAGTGTGTGCGAAACGCACAAAGAGGCAGCCAAAAACCAATCGATTATTATCTGCCGCACTATATTTCTTTTTCAGCTTTTTCGAGATACAGATACAGATACTGAGCGAGCGCTGCCAGCGAGTTCCAGCGAACAGATTATTTTTCGTATATATTTTTTACCTTCTCTCTCTCTCTCTCTCTCTCTGCCTCTTTCATTTGGCAGTCGAGACGCCTTGACACATTCACGTCCAAGTCCAAGCACAGAGATTCGCCCTGGCCCTGGCCCTTTTTGCTTTTGTTTTTTTTTATTTTGTTATTTTTTGCGGCAACCGGTTTGACAGGTAGAGCCAAAGATGGAAGGAAAGCAATCTTCCTCCGCACGCCTTATTCTCGGCAAGGATACTAACACCAATACCAATACTAATAATACAAATAATAATAATAATGCTGCCCAGTGACTGTACGAGGCTGGTGCTGGAACAGTTGGCCGTGTCTGGAAAATCAGCGTAGGCATTTTCCTTTTACCGTTGAGCAGGCAAACCAAACCGATCCACTCGAGGGTGCATGCCTCTCTATGCGGGTGTCTGTTGCAGCAGGTAGCGACGCAGATTTTCCCGATGCTCGCCAGTCCCTTTTCATCTTTAATTTTTTTAAGACGTCGGCGTTTTTCCTTTTCCCTTTTTTAAGGGTCTGCGACTGCAGTTTCATCCAACATGTGTGTGCGAGTGTGCGTGTGTGTGTGTGTGTGCGTGTGTGCATTGCTTTCCTAGTATCAATAACAATGCGTGGCCCGCTATTGTGGCTCGGCTTTTGTGCATCCCAGCGGGTTTTCAGCTCTGTGCAACTCGAGCTGCCACATTGCCACAGCGCTTGCCTCAGCGTTTGTGTGCGGCAACGTTTTTGGGAGATATCGTTAATATTTTCTTGGAAACCGGGATTGTTGTGCGTCGTGCAGGTAGCTGGGCAAGCAACAACATGAACCGATCGCAGATACACACACACACACACACACTCGCACACACATGCGCAGATAAAGATACACATACTGGAGTAGCAAGAGGCAAGGGGCAAGACAGGTACCTGCTCCGTAGATCGTGCTCGGAATGCAACAATAAATGCGTTGGAGTTTTGTTATTATCGTTTTTATTTATTTTTATTTATTTTTTGGCAAAAAGTATATTTAACTAACTATAAAACTTGTACTTAAAGCGGATTTGGTAAGAACTTGAAAGTGCTTCAATGCTTAAAGCATTTTAAAGCATTTAGCTGACAGCATAAAAATAAAGAGCTATAAATTGTATACTTTTGCTAAAATATTCATATTTAAATGTTCTCGTTCTACATTAGAAATGCGTTATGCGTTATTTAAATTTAATTGAAGGCATAAATTTATGCGTCGCATGTGTGTTGAGTGTGTTTGGAAATGCAGCTAAAAGTTGTATTTGCGCTTGTGTTATAAATAAAAGTATTCTTACAAAAAGCAATGCCATGAGATAAGGCAAACATAATAAATATACAAAACTATTTCCTTATTCTCTTCTCCGTTGTATTTCAAATATGTAAGAATTTATAATTTATTATAAATGAAATTTGTATACTCATTTTATTCTGGCTTGCATTTCAAGTAAATACTATATTTTAGTATTTTTATCAATTGATTAAATAATACGCAAAAAAAAAAACACTCCGTTTATTAGGGAAACTTAAACTTTTCAATATTGTTTTCTACGAACGGAAATCATTTAAAAAGTCAAGCCAAAAACTGCTGGTAAACAAGCCAAAATTGACTCAGCGCCCGAACACCAATTGAGAGAGAGAGAGCGCCAGATAAAATGAGAGACAGCCCGAGAGAGAGAGAGAGCGCGCTTGCATTTACCTGCTTGCCTATTGCTGAATTTAGCTGCCAGCCATTGCTATCGCTTATGGGTGTGTGTGTGTTGGTATTGGTGAGCGAGCGTGCGAATGAGCGGCGCTCATTTAATTTGTCGCTCTGCCGCTGAGTGTCTCATTCTGTTTAACGCCTTCGAATCGTTCGGATGTCTCGCTGCGTAACGCTCTCCGGTCCGGTTGTCTCAATATCTGAAGCTCGTTCGTAGTACGCAAGTTAATACAATACCCAATATCTGGATAGATATACAACAATTTATGGACTAAAGTCAAAGTGCAGTGCTCCAACAACGATCTAGTCCTACTCCAGCAAGTGCAAAATCCCCCATTAGATATAAACAGTCTCTCGCAAAATGCGGCAACGCACATAAAACATAAAAAACCAAAACGTGTCTCAAGCTAAAGAAAAGTGTGTTTTAAGGAAACGCGCAGGCGAAATAATAACAAATAACACACACACACACACACGCACACACAAGCAGCAATAAGCTGGACAGAATGGCCACAAATACGGAGCTGTTGCCGTTCCATCATCAGACAACGATATCGCTGCAAACGGCTGCCGCATTAAACAACTATCATGGGGGCGGTGGCGGTGGCGGTGGCAGCAATGGAGCAGGCATTGGTGGTGGAGGTGGTGCAACAGTAGCAGCAGCAGCTGCAGCAGCCGCATGCTCCTCAGCGGCTGCCACATGGAGTATGGATGAACTGTATCAACAGACTGAGCTGCCCGGCCTGACACGCAACAGTGCCCACCACCTGCTGCGCTTCACCCCCTATGCGCTGCATCATCGGCCGCAGTTGCAAACGTTGCCGCCCGCACTTTACTTGCAGCATGCGGCAGCAGCAGCAGCGGCCGCAGCAGCAGCAGCAGCCGCCGCAGCCGCAGCACATGCCCAGCATCATCATCATCATCACCATCATCATCAACATAGGGCGGCGACGCCGGCAAGTCCGCCACCCATCGAAGGCACCCACATCAGTAATCTGTTCCCCGAGCTGCTCGAGCAGATCTTTGAGCATCTGCCCGTCCGGGATTTGGGTCGAGCGGCGCAGGTGTGCAGCGCGTGGCGAGATGCCGCCTATGCGAAGAGCGTGTGGAAGGGTGTCGAGGCTAAGTTGCATCTGAAGCGCTCCAGCCCCAGTCTCTTCAATTGCCTCGTCCGGCGTGGAATTAAGAAGGTGCAGATTCTCTCGTTGCGTCGCTCCCTCAAGGATCTGGTGTTGGGTGTGCCGGCGCTGACATCCCTCAATCTCAGCGGTTGCTTCAATGTGGCCGACATGAATCTGGGCCATGCCTTCAGCGTGGATCTGCCCAATCTGAAGACGCTCGACTTGTCGCTGTGCAAACAGATCACGGACACAAGTCTGGGCCGGATTGCCCAGCATCTGAAGAATCTGGAGACGCTGGAGCTGGGCGGCTGCTGTAACATAACGAATACGGGTCTGCTGCTGATCGCGTGGGGCCTGAAGAAGCTGCGCCATTTGAATTTGCGCAGCTGCTGGCACATCAGTGATCAGGGCATTGGCCATTTGGCCGGATTCAGTCGGGAGACGGCAGAGGGCAATCTGCAGCTGGAGTTCCTCGGACTGCAGGACTGCCAACGGCTGAGTGACGAGGCACTGGGCCACATAGCACAAGGTTTAACCTCCCTCAAGTCCATCAATTTGAGCTTCTGCGTTTCGGTGACGGACAGCGGCCTGAAGCATCTGGCCCGGATGCCCAAGCTGGAACAGCTGAATCTACGCTCCTGCGACAACATCTCCGACATTGGCATGGCCTATCTAACGGAGGGGGGCAGTGGCATCAATTGCTTGGACGTGAGCTTCTGCGACAAGATCAGTGATCAGGCCTTGACGCATATTGCCCAAGGTCTGTTTCGACTGCGCTCGCTGAGCCTGAATCAATGCCACATCACGGATCAGGGCATGCTGAAAATAGCCAAATCGCTGCACGAACTCGAGAATCTCAATATTGGCCAGTGCAGCCGGATAACGGATAAGGGGCTACAAACGCTTGCCGAGGATCTGTCCAATTTGAAGACGATCGATTTGTATGGCTGCACGCAGCTGAGCTCGAAGGGCATCGATATTATTATGAAGCTGCCCAAGCTGCAGAAGCTCAATTTGGGACTGTGGCTTGTCAGATGATGCGTTCACCATGACTGCAATGCCTGCGCCGCTGCCGAGGCGGCCGAGAAGTCGACGGCGCCGTCAACGTCAGCGTCAACGTCAGCGCAGGCGACCGCTTAAAATGCGTCTCCCTCTCTCCTGTCTGTGTGCGTGCGTGTGTGTGAGTGACTTTTGTCTTCTACTTTTGACTTTGTCTTCCTCGTCTCCTTCTTACCTGCCTTTGCGTGCCGTGTTGCATGTCTGATGCGAAGGCAAGGCACGTAATTACACACACCAGCAAACTCACACACACACACACACTTGCACACGCACACACACACACGCCTGCACACGCAGAGCTGGGCAGACAACTAAGAAACAAAAAAAGAGAGAAAGAAGGAAAAAAAACAAAACAAGATACACTGAAAAACTCATAGCTTTCGTTTGCCATACCACACGCTGTACTAAATTTTTTCGTACGAAACAAGTAGAAACAGAAAACAGCAACAACACCAGCAAAAGCAGCAGCAGCAGCAGCAGTCGCGGCAGAGACAGAGCGCAGCAGTGAGAGAGAGAGAGAGAAGAAGGCAGAAAACAACAAACGCCAACAACAAAAAGCAAACAATGAACAAAACACACACACACACAGCGACTGCGACGACGAAGCTCGCTCTGGTCTGCTGTGTTGTTGTTATTACTGCTGCTGTCGCCGCAGGTTCCTAAGGGGCTGGCAGCGGCGCACTTGTGGGCCTGCATTGACGGGGGGATTTAGGCGGGAAGGGGGGCGTCAGCTTACACGCACGCAACGGCGGCGGCGACAAAAAAAAAAACAAAACAAAAAAAAAACGAGAAAAAATAAAACACGGCTGCAGCTATGGCCGATGGCAGCAACAAAGTGCATGGCGATGGAGACGCGCGATAATCATAGCCAGAGAGACGGAGAGGGAGAGCGAGAGCGGGCAGACACACACACATCCGAATGCATAAATATGCGTACGCGTTTGTATGTGTGTGTGTGTGTATATAATGCAGGCCGCAGTTAAACAGATGCAAATAAATTTAAATAGTTTATTTTAATTCACGCTTCGGCAACAACAGCAAAAAATACAACAAAAAAAGAGAAGCAGAAACAACAAAAGCCAGCGTCCTCCAACGCCACAGCAACAACGACAGCAATGGCGGCAGCTGCGACGCCAACAGCGACGTGAGCAGCGCTTTAAGCTTGCCCGCGACAGCAACAACAACAACTACATCGAACGACGACTATAAAAAGTTTGCTCTTTGTTGGCGCTCTCCGTCTCTGCCTCTGCCTCCGTCTCCGTCTCTGCCTTTTGTTAGAAATGTATTTTTTTGTGTTTTTTTTTTAGTTTGTATTTGGCCCAACGAGATTCTTTGTGTTGAATGTATTTTTTCTGTTTGTTTGCGTTTGTTTCGAATTTGTTTAGTGCAGCGTCGTTAGTTATGCCGTTTAATTTAGTTGATGATTAAATTTAAAACATGTTAATAGTAGACACTTAACGCAAATTAATAAATTTACATTTAGGTTTAGTTCTTAACTTGGTCAAACAACAATTAGTCAAATAACAAACGCAACTACAACAAAATAACAACTTTGTTTATTAGCAAAAAAAAAAAACAACAAAAACCAACACATACACACACACACACACAAATGAAACGTTAATACAAATTCTGTAAATTTTTTATTGTTTAATTTATAAGTAAGCAAAATAAAAATAAAATAAAAAACAAGGAAACGAAAACATACAAAAAAAAAAACAACTATAACGATTGAAAAGAATATGTGAATTAATTCTTTTTTCTATTGTGATATAAAATATATTGTAAAAAAAAAACAAAAAATTAAAACGCTAAAAAATACAAGAATTACGTAATTTTATTTTTAACTAAGCAAAGACAAATGATAAAAACAAATGATAAACTATGAGCTATGTTAAATTGTAGCAACTATTTTAAGTCTAGTTTTGAGCTCTGTTTATTTTTAGCTAAAGTCAACCGATCTGTCAGTTTTGTTAAAAACCTATGTACGAATATGTATAGAATGTTTGTATGATTTCAGTCTAAACGCAATATTTATAAATGCCTTATTTGAAGACCGAGACCGACTAAAGTTTAAACTATATATGTAATTATGTTGAACTCTCTAAACGTTTATTTGAGTGTATACAATTTGTAGCATTAAGTTTATATCATTTGATTATTGCTATTTCTGTTGTAGTTTCAGGCAAATACACACACACACACACACACACACACAATTCGAAAACATGAAGAAACTGAAATAAAATTCAATATGTAAAAATTAAAAATACAAAAAAAAATACTTGTGAAACTTCTTGAAGAACGGCGAGGAAGGAATATTAATAGAGAGAGAAGGGGGCTTCAGCAATGAGACGGGCTGCAATGGAATGTGTGAGCGAGGTAGGATGAGGGTGGGAGTGCGGGTTGCAAGGTGAGTTTCAAGTGTCGTAAGTGTCGTACGCAGCAGCAGTCTGCGAATCTTTCCCCCTACCTCCCACTCCCTCCGTTGCTGCTGATGTCGCTTGTCGCATTTAACAAATGCGTTCGAGTATTTCCTGTAAATTTATTTTATGCAAGCATTGTGCGTGTAATGAACAAAAGGATGCAACACTAATGCAATTGCCATGTGCAGCAGGCATCGATGCACATTTAAATACACACACACACACAGAGAGACAGTGGTGCACATAAGGATATGCCTATGTAGCTGTGCAGCAAATGTAAATGGTAAATGCGGTTATGCAACGCATACACTCACACACACTCACACACACACACACACACACGCGCGTCAACTGCAATTTATATGTATTGCAATTATTTATATTGCCCTGCATTATGTATCAGCAGCGACGCAGCAGCCTATACACACATACACATATGTATACATTATATACAGTTATCTACATATTGAACTCCACACACACACACACACACACACGCATATAACGGTTTTACTTGCTTGCTAACTGCTTAAATTTGCATTAAATGTGCGTATGCGTGCCTTTGTGTGTGTGTGTGCGTGTGTGTGTGCGTGTGTGGGCTCCACATCATTATATGTATGTATGTGTATGTACTTATGTATATATATATATATATACAAACATATATACAGAAACCACCCAATTGGAAATTTTGCCTTAATGCTGCGCAATCAATTGCAGGCCGGGCCTACGTTCGAATACTAAGCTTTAAGCAGCTTCCCAGCAGCAGTAACAAAAGTCACGCTTTAAACGTTGACTTAAGTTGGGTTAGTAAAGCCCAAGCAGCGAATATGCCTAGCTAATAAAATAAATCTAGTGGTAGTTTAAACTAACCTGGGATTTATGTAATTTTTACTCATCATGTAAGCTGCTTTTAAAATATGCTTAAACTTTGAGTAACCACCAAAGTTCAAAATATTTAAAAGCACTCACCCAATTTGATAGCAGCTTTATATGCTATGAGAAAACGATAGTGTCTATATTTAAGTACAATTGAGACTTAGTTTTATTTATTATTTTTGTTCTCATTTTCATTTAGTCAGTTGCATTTTTTGGAGTAGTGTTTGTTTTAGTTTATTACAGAATTGATTTGTTATACACTATTCGTAAAATCAAAATCAATTTGAGATTTAATATATATATATATAGATATATCGAACCAATAAATAATTTAAGCAAATAAAAATAAAGTGCAAAGAAATTACTACAAAATGAGAGGACGGATGTGGCGCTGTAAATCTCTCCCTGAAGACGAATCCCGTCGAGATGCAAAATATATCGGAGTATATAAAAATTAAAAATAAACACTTGACCTGGAAAAATGAGTGAAAATTATAAATAAATAAACAGAGAGAGGTCAGCGAACAATCAAAATGTAAATGTAAATATAATATACAATTTTTGAAATATATCAATATGCACAGATATGAACTTCTTTCACTTCACAAGATAGGTTTCCAAAATAATTAGCCAGAAACCATGGAAACCCTTTTGACACAACAAATCTATGGCCTATAGTCTTAACCCCCTTAAAGTAGAGCGTTGAAGTCTGGGGCTGTTTACGATTAGTGGCTCTAGACTCAGCTGCAAATTCAAGACACAAGCAGCGGCTCAGTTAAAGATACGAAAAACAGAAAGAAAACAACGCCAAACTCGACTCAGAGCTATACGGAAAGCCCATGTGCTCTCTGAGAGTTGGCTCTAGTTGTTGTTGTTGTTGTTGTTGACTGTCTTGTTGTTGCTATTATGACCTGGCTCTGGCTAGAGCTCTGTGTGGTCTTTGAGCGACAACGTTGGCAATGTGGCTGCGCAGCGGTAGTGTGCCTGGCAAAATGTTGTTTAACCAACATTTGCATTCTATGAATTTTGAGTTAACTGAAACTCGCTCAAAAGAAGTTGCCGCGTCACGAGCTGGCCATGGCACAAGCACAAGCACAAGCACAAGCATAAGCACAATCACAAATACAAATACAAACACACACAGACATACAGACATTGGTAAAAGCTGCTTTGCCTTATCTTATCACAGCGTATCAAAGTGTGTAAACAGAGACCCCCAAACAATCGAGAGCAAAGCGCACTCTCTCTTTAAGCCTTATCGGTCACAAAATGCATTTGCATTTGCTGTTGCCGTTGCTGTTGCTGTTGCACTTATTGTTGTACCTCATTAGCATGGCAATGGCAACGAGGGCAGGACCAGGTGCCCATTTGCCTGGTGCCTGGTTCCTGCAGCCTTTGTCCATTTATCAGCATTTTCCACACATTCGCATGAGACGAATTCCCTAAAATCGATTCGCTGCTTACACTTTGCGTTTGCTTTTGCTGCTTTTGCGACTGGCGCATAATGTCACACAGGGAGTTGAAACTGAGACGCAGACTGGCATCCAAATGTGTTCGTTGCCAGCTTACACACACACACACACACACAGGCAGAAGGACACACACACAGACACACACACACACATATCTATAGCAAACAACCCTTCGCACGTACGCTGGTTCGGTCTAGCGCTTTGAATTTGAACCCCCGTTTTCAAAAGGACCAACTTCAAATGCCGAAAATAAATGCCTCTGTCCCTTGTGCCCCGTTCCCGTTTCCATTCCCTTTCCCAGTCCCAGTCCCATTCACGTTCACGTTCACGTTCCCAGTCTCCCCCCAGCCGCTGCTCCTGTTAATGTCGCCGGCGCAGAGAAATGCATTCAACATATAAAAAAAGCAAAAACGAAGGAAATTTTAATCCAAAGCGGTCCCTTATATGCCTTTACAGAACGTAAAAGTGTGTGTGACTGTGTGTGTGTGTGTGTGTGTGTGTGTGTGTGTTAGTGGATACACATTTTGTAAATGCTGCCCAAGGTGACCAGAATTTAATAAAGCACCACCGCGGCAAGGTTATCACAGCGGAGCTGAAGCAGCCGCAACAGCAGCAGCAGGAGTAGGCATCCTCATCAAAGGGCAGCCGTCTTACCTGCCCCTGCGACCGGATATTCCACACACACATGCACTCAGACACTCATACACTCACGCATTGCAAAACTTTCCCCATGCCATGTGCACGGAATGGAGTGCAACGCCTGGCAAAGGATCAGCGACAGAAGTGTCAAGATTTCTTGGCTGCAATATTGAAACAGGTGTCCAAATTGCTCTGAGATTACAAATAGTTTCCGCTGCCAGGACGTCCAAAAAAAAGAGAGCTAAAATGTGTGTAAGTGTGCGTGTGTGTGGAGTGTCTTGCTGAAATACCTATATCTAGGTAGTACTAGATACTATACCTATGTATATAATATACCACTTAGCGAAACTCAATTGCAATAAAGTTGAGCACAAGTTGAATTAATAATTGATCATTTGTTGAATGATGAATGGATTATGCCGAGCAAATAATTTCTGGAATAAAGTCAAGATTATTTATTGTCTTAAATGTCTTGAAGAAAGGTAAATAGACATGTACATTTTTAATTAGATCTTATAGGGTTTTCTATAATTAAAAGGAAAAGAAATTCAAAATTAAAATCATTGCTTTAATATTTTAAATGGAAATCAAATCAAATTTAAATATTTGAATATTGAAAATGTTATTGATTTTCAAGCAAAGTCATTCTAAAATCCACCCCAAACGTTATCTAAAAACTATTGCAAATTATAAGAAAAAACATATTAACAGAATGCCTTAGTTACTATATACATATATGTATATATATTTAGTGAAATATGTCAATTTTCCATTTAAGTATGTAATAAATTCCGTGGATGGTATGTTTTCTGTTGCATTTCCATTATTTATGAGGAAATTCATTGGAAGCCGTTCGTTGAGCGATTCAAAGCGATTCAAAGCATCAAAGCTGGGGAAATCAGATAGTGAGCGGGGATTTCCTGGTAATAGTAAAGTAAAAGGTATGATTCTAGGTGATTAGCGATTTTTGTTGATTGAGCAATTAAATTCGATGCAGGAATGCAACTAAATGGTTTCGTAAACTATGAGTTTGTTTTTTGTTTATTCAAAGATACGCTCAGAGCTCAGGGTCAGGAAAGTATCTAACACAGAAGCTCAGGAAATGCGAGGGTTCTACGTGAAGTAAATAAGCGAAAAACGAACAGCAAGAATAACAATGTGTC